CAGAGGAGGCTCTTAAAGAAGAAGTTACAGGTCTGTGAGAGCCAGAAATCTTGTTTGTTTGTAGGTGACCAAATACTTATTTTACCGAGGAATTTACCAATTAATTCATTAAAAATCCTACAATGTGATTTCCTGGATTCTTTCCCCCCATTCTGTCTCTCATAGTTGAAGTGTACCTAGGATGAAAATTACAGGCCTCTATCATCTTTTGAAGCAGGAGAACTTGCACAATTGGTGGCTGACTAAATACTTTTTTGCCCCACTGTATATAACAGTATTTTGATTTGACACCAGGGGAGTCAACTTCATATTAAGAGACCTTAAGAAACACGACACCATTCAGACGTGTACGATGCTGTAGAAAAGCTCCAGGAAAAGGGAATATGTTGGCACTAAGTTTACAGCTGCCCGATTCCTCTGCTGCAGAATCATGTATTACTCCTCTGTAGCTGAAATGCATGACGGTATAATTATATATTCCAACTTGAATCTTCACAATAATGCAGCATTCAAGTGCAATCAGGGATAAATAACAGGTATTCACAGAGTAGAAATATAGAGTTTCAGTATTGGAACAATTATGTTTGCAACTCTTCTATGGCCTTTTAAGCTTTTGTCTAAAGAATGTAATTGCAAACATTTTAGCAAAGATACAAGCCGTGTACATTTTATGTGGGATCCTTTATCTAAAAAAAAAAAAAAAAAAGGCAATAAAAAGTATAATTGTATCCACTTGCACTATAAAAGCCCTACTCACATATGATCTCATTCTAGGACCAATGGGGGCCTGAACCAGGACCCCTGTGGTGCAGAAGAGCTGCAGCTCCCTGAGCGGCCAGTGGAGAGAACACATATTTGAGTCTGCTACTAAAACAGCTTTGGACAATTTCTCCTTTTCACGACCATACAGCGGTTACATTCTCCATCACTCGCCCCTATGACGCTTTCTGTGCGCAGGAGGAAGGGCCGGGGCCGCAGAAAGAGAATGGAGCTGAAGCCCGCCGAGTCACCAGAGACTCAAACACTCTGCAGCTTTGTTTTAGAGCCTCTTAAACTATACAGCTACATCTTAGAAGTGAATTTGTCAACACTTTCTAGATATGAAGTTGTTAGTCTTCCACCCTTAACACGAAGCACAGAATCCTCACGGTAAAGGAAGCCCAGATTTCATTACCAGGAAACATTCACTTTTTGTGCAATTATGTGAAATACATACTTTTCTTTTGTATAAATGTCCCAACACTGTAATATGTAACTGTCACTTAATTTTATTATTATTATTTATTTTGAATTGCTGCTATGAATCTTTAGCCATATTTGTGTACTTATTTTTCTTTATTATTTGTTAATTAAATGATTAGTGTGCTTTTCTTCTCTATATTTAATAAGTTAGCTTACTCTTTAATATTGCTTTGCCACTTTTGCTGTCACACTGTGATTGTCCCCGCTGTGGGACCAATAAAGGAATTCGGATTCTGATTGATCCCACAACATTCATAACACATTTGAATGCAAATGGTTGTGGTGTATTTTCTTTCAACCTTGTACGATCCACCTTTTAAGTCATTAAACTGGCCACATTTAGCTCAGATGTTCGATGTCTGTCAGGACTTCCTGTCTCTCTGTCGTTGAGACGACAGATCTGATGTTTGTTGACACGCAGAAAGAATCATTCGCACAATCAATCCGTACTTTCAAGCTCCATTTAATGTCCTAGCAAAAGGAGAATGTGACTGTTCTAAGGAGTGAGTAAATAGAAAGTGCATTTTTTTTCACTGAGGTTTGACATAATAAAAAAAGATCAAAGCAGTTTGTCAGATGGAGCAGAATCGTTAATTTTGTAGAAATAGCAAAGAAATCAGTAAAGGTACTCTGTTGGAGTATTTGGTGGTATGGTGTAGATCAAAGGCACATCACAGCTCTGTATCTCACTGGGGATTGTTGCACACGCACAGAAAACACACATACACATGCACCAGCCTTCAGAATATATTTCCCATGATGCTCTGACAGTCTTACGATCTACAGTCATGTTGATGCAAAACGCTCATGGAGATTTCTGAGAGGCAACAAAACGTTTATCCAGAGAATGGTGCTTTTTAATTTGGAGCCTGTAAAAGGGATAACATAGCATTAAAATGTGTCCATCAGCCGATATTAAAGCGGTATGATCCTGGAGAAATCAGAAGAAGCAATGATGACCGGCGGGCGGGGCGTTTTATCACATCCTGTTCTCTTTTCTCTCATGTTTAAATAGTTTGCTTAAAGAATGACCCAAACCCTTGGTTACAACTGATCTTGCTCTAACAGTCAAAAAGAAAAAAGGAAATTAACATTCAGTAAACATTCTTCTCTAAAAGGTCATTCCCTTATATAATCTGTCATGTCTTCTCTGCCATTATGTATACATAAACAAGTTTAATAACATACCAATCAGTGGTTATTTCACAATTGGAAAAAGCACAAAATGTTTACACTCTTTTACAGGTAAATAAAAGTTTTTTGACTGTTTTCATAAGGGCGTAGCATACTTCATAGTTCGTCTCACGGTTCCCACATCCCCCCCCGCTATCTGCTATTAGATCTTTACATACAAATATTGACAAAGTGGTGGCTTGTGCTCTGAAGCCATCAAGTCTTTTGGAGAGTAATAATCATCATGAGGAGGGAGGAGGGGGGGACGTGATGCTGGGAATGGATGGGGGGGGTGTGGACTCATAGCTGGCCCTCGCTGTCCTGGCTGCCCCCCGGCTTCTCTGCGTCGGGGGGGCCTGGCAGCTCTTTGAGGCCCGTGCTGCGTTCAGGGAAGTTGTCTCCGTCGGGCTCCAGGCCGTCGGGGCAGGGCAGCTTCAGGAGCTCCTCTCTGAGCTGAGCCGTGTGCCTCTGTGGGGGGGGAACGGGGGCGGGTTAATGTTACAGCAAACATTAAGCACAGCTCTCTCATGATACATGCTGTGACAGAATAACAAAGCATGAGGTAAATACAGGAGGGGACAAGGCAACAATATTTGAAGATGAGGAGGGTGTTCAGCCTCCCCCTCCCCCCAATGCAGCTTGCAGTTAGAAAATATGCATACAATTATGACATGGTCAAAATATGTACTTGCCTGATAATTAAGTTAGACACAGTATAGTGTATATGTATTTAACCTACATATTTGTATATATGTACATTCACTGTTCAATGTTTAACTCATGTAATTCTTTCTATTTATTCTGTTAATACATATTTATTCTTATTATTTCTATCCTTATTATTCCAAGTGTTTCTGCCTTAATTCTGTTGATGCCATGACACCTTAGTGTCCCTACGGGGATCAATAAAGGTCCATCAGATCTTATACTTGACTTTGAAATATGGTAGCTCAATTAGAGGAGTATAAAGTGTTGTGTTCAGGGTCCTGCAGCTGTGGGACATCTGGATTGTTCCCAGTGAGGATAAATGTGCCTATGTAGCACCAGGCAGACTGCAGACACACAGTTTGTGGGTGGGGCTAATTGTGTGTGTGTATTTGTGTATGTTATGAGCTACTGAGTGACCCAGGGTGGTCTGCAGAGAGCCCCTGCCCCGCTGTTCACTAGCAGGGCTCTTTCAGAGTAGACTTTATGTGGAAGATATTCACACAGGAAGTGGAAAAGCCCCTTAAGACCCCGTAATACCGACTGTGCATTTTCAAAACATTGCGCACTATTGGTTCCCTGGGCAAGACACATCACCCAACATTGCTCCTGTGGGGCCCACAGTACTGAATGTATGAATGTCGCTTTGGATAAAAGCGTCTAACAGGTGACATGTAATGTCATTTCAGGGCGTGACCAGTGTTTTGTGTACCATGTACGGCAACCTTGAGAGCATTGAACTGCGCCTTTATAAATAAAATGTATTATTACCTTGAGTGCAGCAGCATGGTGGGACATGGTGCGGCCTACCCTCTTGTCGCTGCTGTACTGCTGGATGTCAGCGATCCACTCCTCACACTGAGACATGATCTCCACCCGCTTCAGGTAGAAGTGTTTGTGGATCACCTGCAGAGACACGACGGGGAACTGATCAACTACAGCCAGCACAAATAAAGTGTCTGTGTATATATCAAATAATAATAAAAGCTGTAAAAATAACATTTCTTTTGAAAAACTATGAAATTATTGAATGTCTGCTAGCAAATGGATGTTCCAATGTATGTTTATTAACTACATGCCCCCCCGTCAGGAGTCCAGACTGACACACTGAGTGTCTGCTCTCTAAACGATCAGAGCCCTGACGGCACCAGGCGGGAGGGATGGATCAGTTATTATGGCGACTGCTGATTTACTGGTTACCAGGGGGGAGGCAGAGAGGGTCTGTGGAGCTTTAATCTCCTTCCTCTCTCTACATCTCCTCCTCTCTCTTCATCTTCATCCCACTCTGGGGCGGCTTCCCATCTCCTCCTCTGTCAATGTTCCTCCCACCCAACCCCCCGCTCCCTGTGCTCCTTAAGTTACAATCAGTGATGTGGGCGGGGGGGCCCCAGTGAGAGGGATGCTTCAAGGTCACAGTTGTGTGGTGAACAGTTGAACAGTCATGGAGTGTGCATACAAGCCATGATAAGAAACATAAAGATGGCAGCACATCCTAACCTTATGTTCAGCCATGTGCTTTAGAGGG